CTGACTTGAAACGAGCGGCATAATAGAAAGGACTCCACCCATGAGACAATCCTTGGATGTAAACCGATATGATTCAACTTAAGTAAGAGTTTGGTGTGATTTACCCTGTCAAAGGCTTTAGCATAATCGAGATAAATCACATCCACCTCCTTTTTCTCGTCTAATGAAATAGTCCAGTCATTGAGGGCTTCAAGCATGTGCATTTCTAGAGGGTAAAAATCTTTTTGAAAAGTACCAAGGCAGAGGACGCTGCAAATAATATTGCTGGAAGTTCTATTGATTGAAATTCCGTAATCATGATGTGCATTAAACATCATTTCTTCATCAAATGTTGAAGAAGCCACTTATTTTTTCAGAGTGAAGACGAACACCGTAGCGAACCATCAAAAGGCAAATTGGTGCAGTTGGGAACCTCCGATGAGTTGATGCTCTGCACTTGTTGCCTTGCAGTTTGCGATTGTTTCGCACCATACTCCATGTTCTTTTTGCTTTACATCCATTACTACATATGTATATTATCAGCATGGATTAATCTCAAATCGGGTAGCGTTTGATTGTCAACGATTTCGCCTTTTTTACCAACCTAGTTGGTATGTCTGAAAAAATCAGGGTAGGTCTGGTGCTTACTGGACATTCTTCTGCAATCGTCGACATTGCATTACAATGATTTTTTACGTCTCTGTCAGCGGGACCTGAAACTCTTCGTAAGTCTAGCTAATAAGCAACTTTTTAAACACTTTGACTTCCCATATTTATTTTTACATCTGATGATCTGTTTTTTTGCATGTTACCGTAAATTATATAGATCTTTACTTTTTCATAAAGTTTAGATGTGTTCTCCCAAAAACATGATCTAGTATTCTATTTTATTATCAGGTCGTTTGAAAGTCATTTTTTGTGCATGTAAGTAATGAGAAAAATTGAAGATAAATCTCTAGCTGCTTTATCAGTTCTTATCGAAATCATCATCTAACGAATAAACAAACCAAGTCTGCAAATCCAAGGGGTTAAAGGGTTTTGAAGTTATTGATATACCATGCGTTGCGTACTACACGCATGTTAGGCCCTTCTCGCTGTACTAAAAGCAGGTTTCAGACTTCAGCGACGCAACCGGCGAGTGTGCGTCCTACAGACGGCGGCGCTAGCCACTTGTTGACAACGTTGGCGTGTGACCCATTGACGTCCATTGTTGTCAACACGTGGCCAGCTACACCGTCGGTCGGACGCGCGCTTGTCGGTTGCATCTTCGAGACTGAAAGCAGCCAGCCACGTCTGCGATTAGAATGGTTATAACTTAAACAACGAACAAAAGAATTCATGGAACAGCTTGTCGAATTTATTGTCTTCTTTGGTCGATATATCATTTTGTATCAGAGTTCTGCCATCTTTTAATGCATAATGAAACTTGAGGAGTGTTTCATCTATCAGCTTTATACGACCTGACTATATTAGACTCATTCACAAAGAAATTCGAATACATATAATTTCCTCTGCTCGCATTGGAGAAGTACTGTTAGGAACAGGGACAACGAACATGCAAACACAACTGATGTAAGCTAGCGTCATGATGTTAGCTAAACAATAAAAGAAAAAATGAAAGATAGCGATATGGTGGCTGGAAAACAGTGTGTAGAACACATTTCTTAAAAGATCTAAATTGAGATTTTCACGACTTTAAGCAACGGGAGCAAGTCGAGAGATGAAAGCAACAGAGTTGTAAATAAGTGATCGTACGATCTGAGGACAATTGGGAGATGCCGCCACTTGGTCCAGAGAATAGCGCATCTGAGCGAAAGCTTGCCTGGAATACAAAACCGAACATTTTGTTACGATTGGCGCAACGTAGCAGAGTATTTGTAGCCAAGACATAAAATTCAATGAAGGTTTGAGTAAGTAACGGTAAAGATGGGAATACCTTGTGCTTGGGTTCCTTTGCGACGCGTACCGTAAAGTGAGAAAACGATAATAAACAAAAGGCACGAACAGCGAAGCCTTACCGCTGAAAAGAAAAGTGTAAAATCACACCAAAGATTATGTAGAATAAAGACTAAACAGCTGTGAGTTTGAGAGCTGAGATTCAACGATACTACATTTCACCAGAGCCACAGGAATGAACGAATGCTTAGTCGATGAGATATATACTACAAGCTTAGCTTAGGAAGCTGCTTTTGAACATGCAATGATATTTTGAGCGGAGTCGTTACAGTGCTTTTCTGCACCTCTTTAGGAATCAGTCACAAAGTAGAGGAACAGTGCCATTGTGATTACCGGAAACATAGGCAAGAACGAACATTTCCCCAACGGAATTCAAGAGAATTTGCAGGATGACCTCAGGAAGCTCCTCCCGAACTTCCTCGCAACTTTTTCTTCGCAACTCGTCATTTGGAGATAGTCTCGCCTAATGGGTCTTTTCCATATTCTTGGAGTTTTCCTTGTTTGTAATTCATTCACATGAAATGTAGAGCGAAGTCACGGCAGGGCCAAGTGGCGATTATGTCATGTACGCCTACAATCAAATCCTGAGTACGAATGCAAAGATTCATTCGAACTCCACACATTGCACAACCTACTGGTCGCAAATCAAATTTTGGACTGAGGTCAATAGCGGCTCACTGTCCTACCAAGACAGGATGCATTTCCGTTAAATTCTTTTACTTGTAGACTTACTGCAGGAATGAAACAAGGGGTAAATTTTCGTCATCTACAAGTGGCGTCCTTCCAATTAATGATCATGAAAAAGCTCATTCAGTTTTGAAGGCAGAAAAGTATCTGATTCGCTTACACAAAAATCATGGAGATGAGAACTGGAATAAGGAAAATCTCTCCACAAGCGATGATTCCGAGACAGTTTGTAGTGTGTTGTTGAGCTATAGAAGCCAAACGGCAAGCAAGAAACGAGCCTCCATGTCCAATTGCCGTTAGTAATTTTACCTGAAAAAATGCACTCAGAAGGCCTGTGACTGTGTTACCTTAGAAACGGTAAAAGCAACACCTATCGTATGCCTTATAAAGCTATGAAATGAGCTAGCAAAAACGTCTATTACTTACCAGCTGGGAAGCTGCATGTAGAGCTGCGAATAGAGAAATTGGAAGAAGGGCCATTGTCACAGGTGCAGAAGTCAGAAATAGAATAGCGTAAAATAAGTAGTGACAACTATCTTCAAGCATAAGGCGAGCGAAGAACTCGCGAGTAAAAGAAACTGTTCCAACCCGTTGCTGCATTCGCAGCGCATTAGTTGCAGCAGCTGAAATCAGAAAACAGTGTAAATAACATGATACTATTCGAAGTTAGACAGCTATTAAAGTAGTTCACCTGCAGCAAAAGCTTTGTAGTAGGCCGAGTCCGGTGCTACGGGTGAAAGAAAAGGAAGCAGATAACAAATCGTGAAAAACAGGGTCATTACCCTCGTTCCAAGAAGGCAGCAATCCATGAGATTTTCCGAGACATACTGCTAAAATAATTTACTACAATGTTTAAGACATACTCTGCAAGCGATTGCTTCAAAATTACAAGTGTACTAGTGCAACGTCAGATGACCATCAGGTTATTTGCTCAACGCTGCTATTAGAGGTCTTAGCCGTACATTTTCCCAAGATGACAGGTCTTCCATGTGCTTTCGAATAGCGGGTGCGATTTTATTCCCCGTAGGTGCTTAACGACCATGAGGGATATCGGTTGAGCGTAAGATCTATCGACGAGTTTATGATGCCATGCATAGCTACGAAACATGCCGTTAAGGAAAAGTTCGCGTATAGCAGCCGTGTAAATACCGCTCCTATCATAAATATTAGATCAAGGACCCACGGACATTATTCAAAGACCACAAGCTATTCGCTCTACCTTACTATTTTCCAAACAGACCACCATGAATAAAGCTAGGCGACATCGCACGCGGCCATTAAATAATTACTTCTTTCAGCCGTTGAGGGCAATGTATAAACGCTTTACTGCCGTTGCAGGCAGTGATAAACCTCATTCCATGTTTTCTATCGAGCCTGCCCCTCATTACTCTGTACTCTTTGTAGGAAGTGGAGCAATCTAAGAATCAACATTCGATCATGCAGTTAAAAATCTCGTATCTATCCCACACTCTTGAGACATAAGAGCTCCTGCACTGCATACAGTCCTTGAAGGAGGAACACTCTGCTGAAGAGCACCAAAAAGTTCGTTTTAGTAGCTAAATGACTAGGAGAGGGAATGTTAATAAGATAGGAATACCGCACCCTGGTTTAAAACATGCTGTTCTTACACCCTTACGCAGCTTTCTTCAAACTAGAGCAGGTATAAGGAGCTCAGAAATTAAGGAACTGTATGAATAGCCGTTCCAAGCAAAAGCAGCCTTGATCCTGCTTCTGATACTCTTCAAGTATCTGTTCTTCAGCCCTCCTCGGCAGAATACATGACGTGAAGATCGAAAAATGATGTGTAACCATAATTCCAAGGCGCTCATTATGCAGCATGAAGATCAATTGATGTACGACCCTTCATTTTATATGATTCCATTGCTCAATACATGATGACCACATTGGGAACTCATTGCAGTGCGGTAAGATGAGGACGTGCAGTTTGATTTTTGACTTAAACTTGCCACTCAATACAACCTCTTAACGCAGCGTTATCAAGTGAACCTTACCGAGATCGATATCGTGCCCTGTGCTGGTCTGTTTGTCTGTGCTCTCGACGAAGAGCTGCTGGTTGATGCTGAAGGATTGTACGGTTCAGATGACTCCTCTCTTATATCCACCATTTCTGCCTGAAATTGATTACGTCAAGGTTGCAAAACACAAACAAAATGTATACAGAAAAGAAACACGAGTCAAAGATAGACCACGTATTACATGTGATCACATTACAACCCATGAAAGTGTTTACTGACCTGTCCCATCTCAGCGCTTATCAATTGTTTAGGCTGAATGAACTCACGTCACATCTATCAAGACTTACTCGTTTCAATTGGATGTCAAACAACTTCATTGTGCCGATTCTTGGGTGAAAATGATGTAGGGAAGTGGCGGGATGTGGGAGGGGGGAGGTAGGGCACTGTCCTTTTCCAACTTTGAGCGCTAAATTCCAGATAAGGAGGGATAGCCGACATAGCGTGTCTGAACGGAAAAGTATAGTTTTTTCCCAAACTCTAAAAGGGCAGGAGCACCTGGCTTAGCGAACCAACTGCTTGGTCAATTCCTATCCCATCCCAGCTTTTTTTTACGAGGTATTCATCTCAACTATTTCGGTGAGATTGCAAGTATAAACTTCCTAGGATTTCTCGTAGGACTTGGTTATAAACCATATTCCTTTGGCCAACAACCGTCTCCGACCACAAACAGTTTCGGCTACCTCTCTTTCTTGGCTAACCCC